ATCCTATGCCACTACTATATAAATATGTATCCATTCAATAAGCATGAAATGCTGCTATCCACAAGGCTTTGGACATATTCAGCAGAGCAATGTGCGGACCTCTGGGATTTGGGGGAGGAAGGGTGGATTTGGGAATGAAAGAATGATTCCCATGTGCTGTCTTTTCTCTTTCTGCCATTCATTGCACTTCATTAATCACCCTCCCTTGGTTTTCTCTTGCCTCTGACAGCAACTGCAGTCTTGGTAATGAGTGCATTGCTGGTCAGCGGGTTTTGTCAGGTATTGTGTATGCTGTGTGGAAGGATCTGTTCTCTTAGGAGCATTATTAAGTATGGATGTTCACAGGGACTTTCTTTCCTGTGTCAATTGCTTTGAATCATTTACGGTGATGACACCAGGAACTCTGCGCAACAGTGATAGAGTGGGCAGTATCGAGGAGAATATTAATTGCCACCATCTCGATAACCCATCTATCCTGAAAGTGCACATATGGTGCGTTTTGTCCAGTGGTGGTCTAGAGGAGTTTGGAAAGCTAGCATTTCAATGTTCAGAAAAACAAACAGAAAAAATCTGGTTCTTGTGTGTGTGTGTGTGTGTGTGTGTGTGTGTGTGTGTGTGTGTGTGCGCGCGCGCACGCGCGCGCGCTGTTGATGAAGACTAAGTTCACAATAAAAAGGAGATTTAACACATAACAAAAGAAATCAGGTTTTCATTCACATGTTAGGCTGGAAAGTCAGTCCCTGGTTTCTAACTCTACTGGTCTCAGCTGAGAACACTCCTTTTGCCTCAGGGGCATTCCTTTGCCTTAGCATTTGCTCACCTGGTTGTTAACTGATTATTTTTGTACAGTGTGATGTAGCAGGAGATGTTTAGAACTTGGAGTCCGGAGGCCTGAGTTACAATCTTGCCTTGAACACTAGCTGTGTGTTCACAGACAAGTGTGTACCTCTCTCAACTTGTTTCCCTTCAGTATGATGTGGATAATAAGACCTACACTACTACCTACCTAACACTGTTGTTGTGAGGAAAATGCTTTAGATACATGAAAGAACTAGAGAAATGTAAGTTTTTATTATTGGTACCATCCATTTCCCCTCTCCCCCCTCCATTTATTTATTTTGCCAGTTAAAGGAAATACTCATGTGGATATAGGTCAGCAACTATTTTGCAACTTACAGTCTTAAAGATTTTCCAGGGGCACTAAGAGTGATGTGTCAATGGTTACACATTTAGTATGTGGCAAAGGCAAGACGTCAACCCAGATGTTACTCACTCCAAGGTCAGTCCTTTAACCTCTATGCTAGAGAAGTCAAAGACTCAAATGAGACAGGGCACCATTCCTGAGTGCAACTCAAACCAGATTAAAATATCGTTTGGAAGTAGTTAATAAAATAAATAAAAATACAATAGAACCTAGATCATATTAACGTCATTTTCTAAGTCGCCATGTGGCTGTAGGGATCCTTATGTTTGGATTGGTGGCCCTGTTTCTATTTGAGTTTTACACCACTGGTCTATGCCATGTTGTCTTCTGTTATATCTTACATACACACACACACACACACACACACACAGAGATACACACACACACACACACACAGAGTCTTTTCTATCTCTATCCACATCATCTATATCTATGTCTGTATCTCTGTCTAGACCTGTGTCCATGTCTATCTATATATCTATGTTAATCTATATCCATAGCATCTATATTTATTTCTATGTGTCTATGTAATATATTCTAATAAGAAAATATTATTAATAATTTTCTCTGATTAGCAGGGTATTAAAGCAGAACCTATAAAATGATGTGACAAAACTAGATAACCTTTAACTTTCCTTGTAGTTCTAAAGCCTATGTTACAAGAAGATACATTAATGATGAGAGAACTTATTGTTAATAACCAATAATTTGGAGAGATTCCAAGCTCTCCCCTTCTTCCAAAGTCCTGATTTTAAAAGTTCATTCTCTTGAAGGGCATTGCTGATAAAGAGATTGGACTAATTTTCTTGTTCAAGAACCCACCCTGGTGGAAGCTATTGTGTTTTGCTTAGGCTTAGGTGGGGTATATATTCTTTGAATAGATAGCCCAAAGCTGTGGGTAGTCTGGTAAAGAGATGGTTTCTCTGTCCAAGGGTGACACACTCTGAGCCCTTCATTTTAATATAGCTCACCTTCTATTGTACTATTCAATCAGAGTTGATTGTCATCCCTCAGGAACATCTACTCTTTGAAGGGTATATGAACTGTGAGCCAGTGCCATGATTGTCTTCGGTCTAAGAGAGAGTCCAGATGACTATCTTTTTATTAATAATGTGCTGGCCTTATTAAGAAAATGATTAAATTATCCAGAAACAATGCTTCTGAAAACTTTTTAATCGTCACAATGGAGTGTTGGGAAAGTATGACAAAACACTGTCAAGAACCAATTTGTACCTTTTTTCCTGAATGTCAGGAGCCCATGTCATCCCTAATCAACATCAAGGATCATAGATTCAGAGCTGGCAGGCACCTCAGAGATCATCTATTCCAATCCCTTTAGCTATATGAGGTAAACTGAGCACAACCTGCTTGGACCTTGTAGCTATCAGCATACTTTGCAACTAGAGGCTTTCTTTTTATTTTCTGGTGAGGCAATCGGGGTTAAATGACTTGCCCAGGGTCACACTATCAGCATACTTTGAAAAAAGAGAGCTGCCTAATTGGTCTGAGTTGAACTTAACAGAAGAAACTGTAATTTCTTAATGGTCCACTAAATTCTCTCTATGAGTCAAGAAGACTTTGGGACCTCTACTGTGATGACTTAGAAGGACACTGGGTCTAGATCCTACTATTCTAGCCAGTCACAGATTTAGCAGTCCAGGCTCCAAAAGGAAAGGTCTTCCTAGTTCTTATCTGTATTACTCAGTCTTCTGTATATGAATTATCTGCTTTGAGTCATTATTTTTGCTGCATCATACTCTTATAAGGTTTTTAGGCTTGCAAAGTGATTTGTATACATTCTTTCATTCAATCCTCCTGGTTCATGAGGTAGATGCTATCATTATCCCCTGTTTTACAGAAGAAGAAACTGAGGCTCAGATTGCTGAAGTTAGTCGCTCACGATCACACAGTTGGTAAGAGTGTGAGTGGGATTTGGGATCCAGGTCTTCCTGACTCCGGGTCCAATTTTGTATTCAACATTCCACACTGCCTCTCACATGCATGTGTCTTGATTTTCAAAAAGGGCTAGAAACACCAAAAGAAGGGTCCACGTCTTATGGTGAAGTAGCAGGGAGTGAAGGAAAGTGAATCGGATTTAGATTTAGAAGACCCGGGTTTAGATCCCTGCTCTGCTGCTGCATGATTTTGGGCAAGCCATTTTAATACCTAGGGACTTTAATTGCCTAACTTGTAAATAAGTGGACCAGATGATTCTCAAAGTTCTTTCTAGAAAAAGATCCTGTAATTTTCCCTGGAAGATAACTTCTGCTCCAGAGTTCACATTTGAGATTTCCTACAGGCCCTGCTTCCCCTCCTTCTGATTGGGTGGCTTCTCCCAGAACCTCTATTTAAGGTGGGTGCCCAGGACAGCCATCTCTTTGTTTCCAAATAGACCACATTCCAGAATTCTCCACCATATTGCTGGTTGGATACCTTCCCCTTCACCCCTTTAGCTTCCTTTTACATGCTATCTTCTCTATTAGAATTCAAGCTCCTTATGGGCAGGACAAGATTGTCTTTTTACCTGAATTTGTATTCCTATCACTTAGCACAATGCCTGGCACTACATAAATGCTTATCGATTGGCTGATTGATTTCATCGATCTGGATGTTACCCCACCCTTCAATGTAGCTTTCAGCCCATCCATGAGTGCCTATTCTCTAAGAATTTTGTCCATATCCTCTCATAAATCTGAGACAGGATACCTACCTCATTTCTCTTAACATCACTAGAATATTGGATGAGTGTTTAGGTTCTTTATTTATGATCCTTCACCCTCTCTATGTGACCAACCCATCTTCTCTTTCATTCTCTGATGAGCTTTTCCTTGTTTTTCTTCAAAGTTCTTCACTATTTATTATTTTCACTTGCTCATCTTCATTACCCATCTCTCTATTGCCCTCTGTGTGATATTCATTGACAATTCTTTAGAGACTATTCTGTTCCAGGAAGGTATCAGAACCATGTAACACTGGTAAGAATATTAGTTTTAAAAGTGCAGGCTTTGTTTCCTGGGAAAAACTTGGAGCCATTAAAAGAGCTTTTCAGTTTCCTGAAAGAATACAGCCTGCTCCGCTCCTTCTGTATAATTCTGGGGCCAGCTTGTTGTCCATTTGTGCTGCTGGCTGGTAGTACAAATAGACATTGAGCTGGACCCAGTGTCCATGTAAAATATTGAGAATAAGAATAATTTACATGTGAATAGAGTTTCATATACATCATCCCATTTGATCTTCGTGAATCTGGCGATTGCCAGCACAACTATTATTAACTCCATGTTACTGTTGACCCTGAGGTTTTAAGGGAGTGAAATGACCTAGGCCTTTTGTCTGGGGGAAACTTGAGGCCAGAACTCTTTTTGGTATACCCTGCTGACATTTGAGATGGAAAAATCAGAATACTGAGGGCATTTCCAACCCTATTCCATGCAGAAATAATACATAAAAATCACAGAGAAGCTCAAACCAAAAAATGTCAGAGCTGGGAAGGACCTATGAGATAATTCAGTTTGATTTCTTCATTTTACAGATGGGAAAACTGAGGCTCAGAGGAAGGAAGTAAATTTAGTTCAGCTTAATTCATTACTAGAAGGCAGGGATCAAGAATAGCCTTAGGCACAGTCAGTATAGAGAATTATACCTGGCTCTGTGTAGAGAATTGTACCAGGCATTTAGCCAATTCTGTCTGATGATGGTTATGGAAGAAATGAAGACCAAAGGAAAAGGAGAAATAAAGAGCAGTGGAGAAAGAAGTATGCTTCACAGCACTTTCCAACATGCAAGCTGTGCTACTCACACTTTCTCATAAGCCCTGCTGGGATGCTCTGGCCATTCAATCATGCACACCACTCGGTTGGGCATGTCTTCTGTAGTGGAGTAGTACCCCTGGGGGAAGGCAAGCAGGAGAGCCAGGGACCAGATGACACAGATGACCACTTTGGTGGCAGTAGCTGACAGCCGAGGCTGGAGGGGGTGGATAATTGCCATGTACCTGTAAGCCAGAAGGACGAAGATAGGGCTCAGTTAACAAAATAAATAAATTATAAAAAAAATTACTCACCACATCTTCTGAGCAATAAGGATACAAAATCCAAATCTTTTTTATTGGTGGGGGGGATTGGTTTTAATGAATGTCAACCTCCACAGCCACCTCACTTCCTCTTCCCAATCCTAGATCTGACATCATTTTATCTAAATAGCAACAGAAGCGCCTACTTTATAAAACAAACTATAAAATAAAACTGCAAGGCCTTGTAGGTCTAACGACATGTTCACTGTCTATATTATTCTAACTCTACAGAAACAGCAGAATGACAAACGATATTCAAACAAAGAAGTTAAAATCTGTGCAGCTTAAATGGATAGATGTTTTACCCATAGGCATGAAAGTATTCCACATAAAATTTTAAGGAATAACCAGTTCTCTGACCAAATTGGTTGATGACAGTGCCTTGAATTATTGTAAGACACCAGTGAAATGTGCCAAAACTGTACAAATATAGGTACTGTGACTCACTATCTTGAGTTAAAATTTGGCCTCAGATACTCACTATGTTAGCTATGTTAGCTTGGGCAAATCACTTAACCCTGTTTGCCTCAGTTTCCTCATCTGTAAAATAAGTTGGAGAAGGAATTGGCAAACCACACCAGTATCTTTGCCAAGAAAACCCCAAATGAAGCATCGGACATGACTGAAACAACTGAACAATGTAGTTACATGAGGTATTGTTAAGCTGCAAAAACTAGGAGGAAACTTATACCCTCCAGATAGAATGATAAAAGGCTTGTTCTACTTGCTTGGGTAATTTTTGATAATCTATTATTTTCTAATGTTTTACCTTTCTTCAAATACTGTGGAGGAACTTTGTATGTATGCCTCAGTGGTTCAGATGTGAATTTCAAGAACAGTTTGATAGATACATCAATTTCTCAAACTTCTTGTTCCGTCATCCTTCTATTTCTCCAAAGTTATGCAAAAGCTTTGCTCTGTTCTACCTATTGAGAGATTCTTGCTGTCTGGACCAGAGTTGGAATATGTAATAGGCTTCTCCAAAGTAATTACATGTAATCAATAAAAGAAATATATTTTGGCCATGCAGTTAGCAAAGGATTCTGAATTATTTGTTCAATAATTGTTATTACTATGTATAAAACTCTGAGCTTAGCCAAAGAGAAAAAAAAATGACACTGTCCTTGCCCTAAAGGAACTTACATGGCTAAGTGCCATGCAAGAAATAGTGACAGAGCTGAAAGAGAGATAAAGATAAAGTTCTCTTGGAAAATTTGAGGAGGGAAAAACACTTTAAGCTATGGTTAGGGAAGGCTATCATAGTGCCCTATTGTACTCACTCTCTGTTGCATAAGCAATCTTGCACATGTTAGGATGGAGGTGATCAATGGACACTTCCAAACTAGACCAGTAGCAGTCTATCAGTCAACTAATGAGCCACACTCCAAAATATTAGTTGGTTCTATCCTTAATGAATTCCTTTCCCAGAGTTTTCCAACTCTGACAATGCCTCAGGTGGACCTTATGAAAATTGTAATTTCATTGATTCTTATTCAGTGGAGGAAATTTAATTGAGTTACTTCTCAGTGGAGGGAACTGTGCTAGAAACTGTGAGGGATATAAAGTTTCTCTTTTCTGTTAAGATGGGATATTGATATTAATAATACGTTGCCTCCCTCTTGGGGTTTTTGTAAGGATCAAGTGACAGAGTGTATATAAAACTCATACAAACGTGGGCTATTGTGATTATCTGAAACACAGCTCCTGTCCTGTGGGTGCCCACAGCCTAGTGGGGAAGGTAAGATGCAGGCATAAATAATTCTCAGACAAGGCGGTAGATCCTTCCATCAGCGAACAAACAATTCAGAACACAAATGCTTTAGGGATTCACGGGAGGGAGATATCACAGATTACATGCAGATTACCAAAGTGACAGCCAGGCAAGATGCAGCGGTACTAGGGATTTCAATTGTCCCTATGTCTGCAGGTAATTTCATCCTGCTAAAAGGCGGGAGAGCTGATGAATTCCTGCTTTGTCCTTCTGCCCCTCAGAAGGCTAAGGAGGCAAAGAGGAGAGCCGCTAGCTATCCTGACTCTAATATTGACGGACGCTGATTGCTGAATTGGAATCAACATGCCCACATCATCTCAGAGGTTGGAATAAGGGAGAAAGGGCACATTGTATTTGATTCCTTCCATTTCATTCCTTCCACATTGCAGAGCCCACATATAGTATTTCTTCCTTCCCCTGTTTCCCCCTATCTTTTACCATTGGGGCCACTTGTCTCCCACCTATTGGTCTCATTCTCTCACCCCTCTGACTTTAGATTTTGAGTCTAATCTTGGCCTCAAGCAGAGGAAATATGAGGAGCCCTTAATCAGGTGCTCACAGACTCATCACAGATTTGGTCTTGCTGCTTGCCTCACTGTGGCATTCTTACCACAGTCTATTGTCATTGTTCAGTTTCAGTAGTGTCCAACTCTTTGTCACCCCATTTGGAGATTTTCTTGGCAGAGATACTGGAGTGGTTTGCTATTTCTTCTCCAGCTCATTTTACAGATGAGGAAACTGAGGCAAACAGAGTTTAAGTGACTTGCCTAGGGTCACACAGCTATTAAGTGTTGAGGCTAGATTTGAACTCAGAAAGATGAGTCTTCCTGACTTCAGTCCTGGCCCTCTATCCATTGTGTCACCTCTATCCATTGTTGCCCAACTGCAACGTACTGAAATACTAAACAGAACTCTTATTTTTAGCCTGGAAATTCAGACGACAGAGCACCTTGAATGTCAAACTAAGAGGTTTAGACTTTATTTGGAAGGTAACTGAGAGCCAGCAAAACTTTGTGGACAGGAAAGAGAGTTCCATATCTATGCAGTGCCTTAGGAAGATTAACCTGGTGGCACCAAATTGTATTAATCTGAAAGGTATTGAGGAACCCCTTCCCCCAATCACCTTCACATGTTCTCTATTGAAGCTCATAAGTTTCTGAAATTCCAGCACTAGAGATTCATTCCTTTGCATCTTTAATGAGAAGATTTATTTGTTTGTTTGTTTTTAAGAGTCCTTAACTAAAATGCAGATATTCATGCAAAAGCTCATAGCTCTAAATCTGAGGCCCCCTAGTCCAGCCCTGTCATGTGCAGAGGTGTGCTTGTTTTCCAACTTGGTTACACATCTACCTAAGAAAGGATGGCCTTTTGGAAAGAGATAAAGACTAAGTCTCTCAAGAAGGGGCAAAGATAATGGAAACTGGAAGGAACAAGAGAAGGCTTGCAGGAGAGATAGAAGGAAGGGATGAGAAAGTAAAGACAAACACTTTCTACTTCACCATTTTGTTGAATGTTGGTACTGGCCAGAACCAGCTTCTTTCAATGTATAAGCTGAGGGTGATTTTTTTTTCCTTTTCAAAATTTATTAGATGTAGTCCAGGATAATCAAAAGGAAATATTCCTAAGGGTAAAGTGTGGGGCCTGTAAAGCTAAATAACCAATCATAGAGATAAACTATTTAGTTATCAGAATGGACTTTAATCTCTCAAGAGAGTGGTGCTAATGCATTCTCTGGCTCTGGAGAGCACACAGGGGATGATGTGGGAGATATTTTGCCCTTTAATATTATTTCAAGCATAGGAACCCAATTTGTTTCAAGCTTGGGGTCAGTTCTCCTTAAACAAACTCCTCCTTCCCAACCTGTGCATTCCACCCATCCCTTACCACCATGCCCAGTTTGACATTATGCCCTGTTTGATCTTAAGTAGCCAAGAGTTTAAAAAACAATTGTAGTCCAATATGGAGCCAGAATTCTGAGTGGCCATTGGGTGAGGGGGGCAGGAAGACATCTTTCATCTTTATGGCAAAAATCTGTAATTTGGGAGACCATTTTGTTCTGTTTCCTGCCGTTCCTTGTGAGCAGCAGCCATTTAAGTGACAGATGCACTTTTCAAAAAAGTACATATTACCCATACATAGCCAGGGACAATGGCAGTAGGTTTTTTTTTTAAATTAATTTAAAAAATGTTATATTTCCTTCTCCTATCCACTGCCCCCCAACCCCCCCCCCCGGCCGCAGTTCTCTTGCAGAATCTCACTGTGGTGTAGAGGTAATCTTTGATTCCAAAAGGATTTAACAATAAAAAACAAAGATTGGAAGGTGCTACCAAACAGGAGAGACTCCAAATAAAAGTCCCATGATGACCTGTGTATCTGAGGTCCCAGGACCAGTTTACCTCATGGTTACAGTCTTATCATAAAGAAAAAGTGGTCAGATAGTTAATTTTTTTCTCCCATAGTAACTCAAGAAGACCATCTACAAAGGCCTAAAAGGATTGTAATCTATATTAACAGAGGGAGTGCAAACACAGAGGCAATCAGGTGTATTGCAGTTCTTATTGTTTTTCGGGTATTAAAAATAAAACTTCAGTTTTTTTTAGACTTAGGTGAATCTTTTTATTTTTTCTTTCTTAAAAATTTCAAATGATCATGACTCCTCTTTGGGGGCTGCCACAAACATTTTATTTTTTTAGGCAATTGGGATTAAGTGATTTGCTCACGGTGACACAGCTAGTAAGTGTCAAATGTTTAGTCTGAGGCTGGATTTGAACTCAGGTCCTCCTTACTTCAGGGCTGGTGCTCTATCCATTGCACCACCTAGCTGCTACTAACAATGCATTTTTCAAGTTCATCTGGTAACTTGGCACAGTTCTGCTTGTACTTTTGACAAGTGGATGCCTGTTTTACTTTGTCTTCTTATTTTAAAGTACTAACTCATGAAAAATGTATATATTTAGATGGGAGAAGAGAGTGGTATTTTGTTATTATAACCACCCAGAATCCTTCCAGCTGTTTTGGCCATAAACCACATGAGGAAGTGCTGCAAACCCCAGGATAGATAAATCAGTAATGTTCTCCATAAATATTTATCAAGTATGCAAGTGCATGGCAGTCTATCTCAGGGCTATCTGCAGGGAAATGACATCTTTTT